GTAAACATTGTAATATAATGTGAAAGAGCTAAAATATGCGGTAGTGTCAAGAAACAATATTATGAATAAGGTTTGATGGAAGTTATTGAGATGAATAGAAACTGACTTGATCGGCACAGAAAAAGAAACACTACTAGGTCGGAAAACAAACTGAAAGTGAGAGGCAATGAACTGCTGGTCCTGGCCTTCAGTACTTTACTCGTACTTTCTACACCCCCACACAAAATATCGACGTGCACTGGACCCGTTAAATATATATAATAAGAACTGTCCTGTATGATGACAAAAAGTCAATTGATACTGTACCAGTGACGCTGTCCCAAGCAGATTAAGTCTACAATCAGATAATATACAAAGCTGGACAAAGTTAGCACACAACAGTTTCCGATCATTATATCATCAAATTTTCTTCATCGCACTTCTCACTTCTCTGAACAGAACACTGTGTTGTAACAAAGTGGGGAAGTGTGTCAAATGCTAATTATAGAACTTGGTGTCTAGCTGGGGTGACGGTGGAAAAGGGGAGGGAAGGGAGGGGGTAGGCCTGGCCCAGACTCTGACAGCCGAGTGCCTGTCGTTCCTCATTAAAATTCTCCTTATATATCTTCACTAGACAATTCCTCCTTCCGCCGGCCAGATACCTATGGGTCAGGTAAGATATTTAGTGAGGAGAAAACGATGAGTAAATGTCAAACAGGAACTATAGATGGTTAAAAAGTCAATAAACAAAAAAGATTAGTGCCATGCTAACAATAAATGTTCTGATAGTAGTTAGAGAAAGTAGAAAGGCTGAATGATAAATACATGTTTTGCTGATAAAATAATACATGTGTCTGTGCTGCTCAAGACAGTCTCAATCCTAATTTTGTAAGCTACAAAGAGGCCAATTTGGCAATTAAGGGATGCCCTATTTGATCTGAAGGCTGTCGATGGATTTGTCCATGGGACTGACGTCATCGCTAGGCCTAAGCCCGCCGTGTGTTTGGCCTCGTATGTAGTAGCCTACGAACTACGAAGTTCCACGACGTGACGGCTTGATGGGAGGGAGACGATTTAAAGTTATGATCCGGCGCGATAACAAACGTGAAGGAATGAGGCTCCGTCGTGACAAATAAACAGCAGTGAACCCCACTTCAAATCGGCAAGGTGCTTTTGAATAGGGCTGTACCCCGGTAGCAAACCCGCTCGTGCTCGCAAGCCCCTAGTTCATGTCACAAGCCTCAAATCAGTAGGTCAAATCATCAAATCAAATCACCAGCATGATAAGTTGAATCTAGCGCAAACTGCAATCTCCTTGGTCTAGTCTAAACTTCAAGTCTACAGCAACTAGCAATCCGCGAAGCCACTCGTGTCAGGCCCCCTCATCATCCCCATCCTGCTTGCAATCCGCGAAGCCACTTACGTCAGAAAAGAGAGAGGGGGAGAGTGAGAGATTCCGCCCACAGAGTCACTGCGCTTCGTGGCGCTCGATTAATCGAAGGCCTGCGCAAAGCAGCGGTCAGCCCTCAAGTCTCAAATCCCGTCCGCAGCCACAATCCCCACAATTCACACAGTACTGCTTTGCGCTAGGCCTAGAGAATTGTCCCAGGACAAGCTCTAAACCTGACCTGCTGACTTGTACTAACTGTCTCGATACACCGAGCGAGCGGGACCGCTCGATGGCGCAGGACTGCTCGATGTGTTCAAACAGTAGTACTGCTCGCTGTGTGAACTTTGAACCGTGGAGGAAGGGAGAGGCTGGGCTTGTTTTGGTGCAAGGCATAGAGAGCTGAAGTTATTTTTAACTTCCCACCGTTGATCAGCTAAGCGAATGGATAAGTGAAAGGGAGCGTGGTATTGTAGTAATAGAGACCTAGGTTTCTAGTAGTAATAAGAATAAGTTGACTTAGATTACCCTAAAATGGAAAACTCCAGGGGTCGTTGTGATTGGCTTTTGTATCGTATGTATGTAACCTATTTTGTAGATGTGTTGCACTCACAATGACATAATACAGAACATTTAGGAGACGGGCTAGGCCTACTTCAACCCAATGTCAGGGCCAACCCAGCAGAAAGACGGAGGTTCTCAGTAAAATTTTCTCCTCATACGGGAATCGAACTGAGGTCTTTAGCGTGCGACGATGAAGCGCTTGGCTCGTGCACATTAAAATAAACTGGCCTTAACATTGTAAGAATAGCCGATCCAATATTAATTTTTAAGTGTATTGAATAGAGCTTTTTGTTTTTTACAACCGAACTATGAAATAAAAAAACCCGATCTTGCACTTTTGGTGCAAGCCTCTCAACGCAAATAACCAGAGAATCTTCTGTAATATGTACTGAGTACTGAGCCCACAGCCACAAGAGTTCGCGACGTCACGACACAGTACAGCAGGCCTGTCCACGAGTCACAACTCACCTGAAGTTCCCTTCGGTAGCAAACGGGAGGCAAATCAAATCACAAGCCTGTTCGCAAGCCTCTAGCGCAAGCCGTCCGCTGCTTTGCAAACCTTCGATTAACCGAGCAGAATCCAGCCCTACTTTTGAATGTTGATATATGTTTGTTTGGATTTACTTAAAACTGAATGAAAATCATCATCAGCAATAAATATCCTGTCAACAGTCCAGCTGAAAAAAAATTGACTGGCATCGCCGGTCTTGCCCAGTTAACAAACTGCCCCTGCAAATAGCATGAAATGTACAAATTCAACTGATTTGAAAAATATGATGGTGCATCACCATTCAAGCAATTGTGACATAGAGTGGCTGCAACGTGTACAAAATTATTTTTCCAACAGGAAGCCAGCGTAGTGTCCGTAAAAGAGGTGTAGCAGAGGCTTGCTTGCTTTTCTGTAAAACTGAATGTGCAGCCTTGTTTTGGACAGTTTGAAAGTCTTTTCACTTCATCCAGCGATATTTCTGATAACGAGGAGTTGCAATAACCAAGTCTTGATAAAATTAAAGTATTTACTAATGAAGCAGTATATTTAGTATAGAATAGATGACGTATTTTACTATTTCTTTCCTTATTTTCAAATACATGCAGCTCCTTCAGATGCTTTACCTCAGCCGACATTTGACAAAGCGGAATCAAAATAGATGCCAAGATTTATAACTTTTCTTGAAAATGCAATTTCCACATCGCCAAATTCCATTTGATCGTGGACAGCCTCATTAACAGACTTTGCACTACCTGCCAGGATGATAATCATTCAACATCAATTTTGTTGTTGTTAATCCAGTTTTCTCACTCAGGCAATACAATTTTTAGCAAATTGGTAAACGTTGTTGAACCTTAAGTGAGTATAATCAGTATAGAAATTATACTTTAAGTCATATTCAACTATATTTTGACACGTGGCTGAGTATAAATGGTAAACAAAACTGCACCAAGGACTGAGCCATGGGGACCCCATACACAAGAGAATGATCTAATAACTTTTGATAACAATCAAAGACAGTACATAACAAGATGGGCCACTCAGCCAAAAAAGTGTCCGCCGGAAGTTCGCTGCAGTCTCGTTTGAAGCTCTCTTTCGTTTTTCCAGAAGAAGAATAGGAATAGCACCTCCTTGCGTGCGCAGATCGACTGCTGTTCATCAGCAGTTCGAGTTCGTTCAGTGTGGAGTTTTAGGGTTTTAAAAATATTTTAATGACCTCTCGCTTTTCATTCTAAAGTCAATTTAACCCTAGTCTTCTGGATGGTCCGATTTCCCTAGAAGCCTGTAAGGGGGCCTCTCAGACCCCACTATTTATCCTTTGTATTTTATGGAAAAACTTGGTGGTTGATCATCATTTACAGAAACTTAAACACAGAGACGTTGAAACAAAGCCCCCAAGACTACACATACAGAAATAATCTGTTTAACGAACACATTTATTGAACTTTATATATCATATATTAGTTGGTGAACAACTTTGAATGACGTTAGACTGAAGAAATCAATGCGATTCTGGCACTTTTTTTCCTAATGATTGTGGGTCGGTCATGTCATGAGCATGCTGTTTTTTTTTGCTGAATAAGGAGATTGAATTTAAATGATGATGTGGTAGTCTTTCAGTTAAAAATGAATCTCATGAAAATGCCCAAGAAGACTTAATTACGGTAAATGATAATTAGGATGATGCCAAAATAGTGTGGTACATATAGTAACTTGGTACCAGTACTGGCACCGAAGACCAGGAGACAAGTGCTCGGAATATGAGTGTCTACTGACAGTGAAGACAAACGCGCTTGGAAACAGAGTGTTCCCCACAAACTGATATTTCACAAGACATTCTGTCCTTGTTTCACTGATAAAGTCCACAGCGTTTCCTCTTTCTTTGCCCATGTTCAGTGGCCAGTGCTCTTGCTTCTTGGGTTTGGGTAAGTGGTGTGACACCACAGAGAAGCATGCCCATACGAGCTGACTTAGGGATGTTCTCAGTGGCAGCCCGGCATTGTATTGATGGCAAGCAGAGCTCATCACCCAACATCTCGAGGAAGATTTTTCTCTTGTGTTTCTTGCGGATATTCCACTAGGGATTTTGAGCAGTGAAGCAGATGTAAGCAGCAATAGCTGCAACATCCAACAGATTGCAGAAGAAGGTCAGAGGCCATCTCACGGTCTGCCTCTTTGACATGTATGCATGGACCATCTGATCCAGAGAGTCATCACCGCCCTCTGTTTTGTTGTAAAAGGCATTGATTTCTGTTTTCCCGGTCTCCTCGTCGATGCTGCCATAATGGTACATACTTGACAGGAGGAGAACTGCCTTTCCTATTATAGTAAAAATACCTTGGGGTCTGAGAGGCCCCCTTTAGGGTTCAGGGGGGTTGTCCTAGGAAAATAGTAATCATTGTCTTCCAAATTATCCAAATAACTTCATAGACCGTATTTATGCTTATCAGAGGGTGTTTGAAGAATACCTGGGAGGAAAATAACATCGAACCGAAAGTTTTGTCGAAAATGCCTGAAATATACCTGTTGGGGTCTGCGACGCCCCCATCCAGAAGACTAGGGTACGAAGAAAACAATAACCCTTTCCTCCGGAAGAGTTTTTTTTGTCAGCGTAACCATTTAAAAAAAGCGTTCTTCCGAAATTTATTCCAAAATTTACTAGTTTTACTTTGATATTTAAAAACTCAAGTATGGTAACTCTGTTTGCAAAGGGTGCGCATTTGCGAAGAGGGCGCCACCGAATTTTGAGGACACTTTTTTAAAATTGGCTCAAAGAGAGAAGTGGCCCCTCTTGTTATGTAGACTCTTTGTAACAATACATCGGTATCGATTTGATAAAAGTAAGAACAAAACCAGCTAAGGGCAGTACCGGGTATTCCAAAAGACTCTTCCAATTGCTTCAATAAAATGTGATGGTTAAATGTATAAAAAGCTGCTGATAGATCTAAAAGGCTCAGCAAATAATGGCATAATCAGCAGAAAAAAAAAAAAGCTCCTTACTTCCTTGTGGACAAAAGACACCACATGAGAAAGAAAACCAACACCAACAGACACTAACACAACAATGAAAAGGCTGGGCTTCAATTCGACTCTCCACTCAACTCTCCGTAGTAGTAGTAGTAGTAGTAGTAGTAGTAGTAGTAGTAGTAGTACAGGGTTTTACGGCGCTCGCACAAGGTCATATGAGCGCGCCTCAACTCTCCTTCATTTTGTCTTCATTTTCGGGCGTATTAACAGTCCTCCTTCACAACCCAAAGTGTCTTTTTTCCACCTCTCTACCGCTCTGACACTGTGACTGTATATTATGTTTGTTTGACTGTTAAAAGTATTACCTTGTTCATCTGTTGTGGCGATGTCTCTCTGTCTCTATATATTTCTCTTCCGGGCTCTCTTCTCTCTCTCTCTCTCTCTCTCTCTCTCTCTCTCTCTCTCTCTGTATATGTGTGTCTGTCTATCTGTGTGTCTGTCTGTCTGTCTGTTTATCTGTCTGTCTATCCGTCTGTCTGTCTGTCTGTCTCTGTCTCTGTCTCTGTCTCTGTCTCTCTCTGTCTCTCTCTGTGTCTCTCTCTGTCTCTGTCTCTCTCTATCTCTTTCTCTCTCTCTCTCTCTCGTCTACCCACTAATCCCCAACACGCATACATGCACGCACACACATGCACACACACACACACACACACACACACACACACACACACACACACACACACACACACACACACACACACATATACACACCACAAACACATACAAACACACGTACACACACACACGCACATAGACACAAGCACAAAGCAAACACACACACACACACACACACACACACACACACACACACACACACACACACATACACACACACACACATACACACACACACAAATACGCCCTAACCCCTCCCCCCCCCACCCCCATTTCGATGCTCGGCACACATAATAAACACATAATAAATGCACTTGTGTGCACACACGCTACGACACAATTAAACAGGCCCACACTTTGAATAATTCCGGAAACATTCACCTGTAAATATGTTATCTAATAAAGTCATGGGGATACAGAAGACGGCCACGAGGATGTCAGCCAGAGCTAGGTTCGAGATGAACAGATTCGTCACACTATGCATGCGTGGAGTGATGATGACCACAAGCACAACCATAACGTTGCCGACAACTCCAATAAGAAAGATGAGACCATAGGCTGTTCCGTAAAGGGCGATCATGTGTGTAGGCAGTTTAAGTGTGGAGTAGTACTGTTCTTCAGACTTGTTGCTGGCACCGGAAGGTGCCTTTCCCCACAAGGAGGTAGTGTTCATCCTTGTGTTCTGATACTTTCAGAAGTGATACAATCTGAAAGAGAAGAAAATAAAACGAATTGGTTTAGGTAATCTGAACGAACGAATAATATTTTAGTAGATTCTAAAAAGATCTACCGTATCTTTATTTCTTCAACGTCTAACGTTGAACAGATAGATACCATGTTGATAGATCCTAGATGTAGCAAACAAGATCGCTTATCACAGTCAGTTTTCAACTTCAGCAGGAAATACCAACCTAGAATGTTATAAAAAAAGATCATAATGCTGTTCTTCATGTTTCTTGCTGGCACCGAGAGGTACACTTCCCCACAAGGAGGTATATGACTGTTTTAAACGTGTGTTTCGATCTAAAAACGTCACCCACATGAACGAACGTGGACTGGGTGTGCCCACTCCAGGGCGTTGAGCGGCCATGTTGGAGATATATGGCGGGAGACAGAGTGAGTAACTGAGTTTGTTAGTAAAAAGGACACTTTTCTTTTATACTTATAAAATGGATTGCTTTTACGTCGTGTTGGGTACACTCTCCTACTAACGCACGATTTGTAGACGTCGTGTTCCCATAGCTTTGTGGGTGTATTTGTCCCTGATCAGTTTTTCAAGATAGCGTAACATTATCTGGTAGAAAACCTTGCATGATTCCTTTATTATTTGATTAACGTCGTTGTCTTCTGTTGGAATATATTGTGTGCTCATATTATAATCTCCAATCTCGGTGAATGCATGGCTACTGACACACAATTCCAGGACATTCCCATCGTAATCTGGGCTGTCAAGTCCGTTTCATGGATCGAACCAGTCCCCGATCCTATCGGAGACGGACGTTAAACTAAGAGGTCACGCCCCTTGAATAACCTTATAGTGTTTATAGGGGGCGTTAAACCCGTACCATTTCAGCATTATTTTTTTTAAAAGAAGAAAAAGAACCAGTCCCTCTGTTTTTCAGTGGCGGGGCGTAGTGAAGGGCTAAAGGGATTGAACCCCATCCACTCGCACCTCCACCCCCCCCCAAACTCTTTCCCACCGTAAATGAATATTTCTTCTAATAAACGAGATAATCAGTTGAAACCGTTAGAACTGTTTCAGAATTTTCCGCCTCCGCCTTTAGTTGCATGCGGTGAACAACCATGCGTACTCGTTTATCCAATCACCCGAGTTACCGCTTACAACGATAGTAACCTAACACTAACAGCCAATCAAATGTGTTTAGGGCTCAGCAAAGGATGGACCCATTCCCACGGTCCTTTCTTAATGAAACTCTTCTTGAAAAAAGGTGAAAGAAACAAACGAGAACATGCGGACACTGTTGTCAGAGAGGGCTCCTTCTCTGCCAGCCTAGACACACTTTCAACGGAGACACAGTAGTCAAAACTCGCTCATAGACCTACGTTTTAGGAATGCCTTGCTTTCTGCGACCCCACGGCCTAATCCAGTTACTCTTGTATGTGTGCGTCTGCGTGTTTGGTTAATTACTTAATTTCTAGTGGCAAACTCGTCTAAGAACGTCGATGCGTTTTTGTAGAGTGGGCAAAAAATGTCGAAAAGCCTGCAGAGTTAGCGAAAAAAATCCTGCAGTCTGATATGCCAGAACAATCGAAACGTTTTACAATTCAAGATGGCGGCAACTAGTTTTGTAGATATCTATTAGAGCCTCTCTCAATGCTCTCTCGCTTTGCAGAAGCCTCAAAGCTCTTTGGGCTTACAATAAGCATCGGGAAAACTGAAGTTCTTCACCAGCCGGCCCCACACACTAACCCAGTGTCTCCAAACATCACTATCAATGGCAACAGCCTGAAGAACACCAAGAACTTTGTACCTTGGAAGTATCACCTCTGCAGACGGCTCCATCGATCAGGAAATTGATATTCAAGAATCAGCAAAGCCAGCCAAGCTCTCGGTAGACTGAATAACAAGGTACTAAACCAGCACAATGTCCGGCTGTCAACAAAAATCAAAGTGTACAAAGCCGTTGTGCTCTCCTCCCTCCTCTACGGTTCGGAGACCTGGACACTCTACAGGAAGCACATCGGCAAATTAGTGCAGTTCCATCAAAGGGCTCTCCGCAGCATACTCGGCATCCGGTGGCAAGACCGCATCACCAATATTGAGGTCCTCAACCGATCAAGCTCACAAAGCATAGAAAGCATGCTCGTCAAAGCTCAACTGAGATGGGTCGGCCATGTCATCCGCATGGAAGACCACCGAATGCCCAAACAGCTGCTGTACGGCGAACTCGCAAGTGGCAAAAGAAATCTCGGGAGGCCAAAAAAGCGGTTCAAAGACATTATAAAGGAAAACCTTCCGCTCGCACAGGTAACCCCCAAAGAACTCAAAAGAACTGCCACCGAAAGAAACGCCTGGCACAGGGCCGTCCGTATTGCCAGTAGAAACAGTGATACAAACTACAGGGAGAGGCTGACTACCAGAAGAGAGAGGAGACATAAGCCAACCACCACAACCACGACATTCCAGTGTCCCCACTGCAACAGACATTGTATATCCAAGATCGGATTGCACAGCCACATGCGCGTCCACAGATGAGCTGCAGGATTCATCGTCATCTTCGACAACGAAGGACTACCTACACATTAGAGCCGTACCCCGGTAGCAAACCCGCTCGTGCTCGCTAGCCCCTAGTTCAAGTCACAAGCCTCAAATCACTAGGTCAAATTATCAAATCAAATCACCAGCATGTTACACTTGAGTCTAGTCTAAGCTTCAAGTCAGTCCACAACACTACTAGTACATTGTACTAGCAATCCGCGAAGCTACTCGTGTTGGGCCCCCTCATCCTCCCCATACCCTGCTTGCAATCCGCGAAGCCACCTACATCAGAAAGGGAGAGAGAGGGGCCCGTTCACAGCGCGGCAGGCAAGTATCAAATTCCGCTCACAGCACAGCAAGCCACCCGTGCCCAATGACCTGCTTTGCATCCCATGACTTGCTTTGCCTCCCATGACTTGCTTTGCCTCCCATGACTTGCCTCTCATGACTTGCTTTGCCTCCCATGACTTGCTTTGTAAGCAGCGAGCAGCAAGACCGCTCGCAGTGTGAACTCTGAACCGTGGAGGAAGGGAGAGGCTTTGCTTGTTTTGGCGCAAGACGTTGAGAGTGGAAGCTATATTTAACTTCCCACCCTTGATCAGCTGAGCGAGTGGATGTAGTGATAAGAAGCGCGGTATTGTCGTAATAAGTATCTAAGAATGGAAAAACTCCGTGGGTCGTTGTGATTCGCTTTTGTATCGTATTTTGAGTAGCCTATTTTGTAGATGTTTTACACTCACAATGACACAATATAGAACATTTAGGAGACGGGTTATGACTACTTCACCCCAATGTCAGGGCCAACCTGGGCTGAGAAGGAACAACGTCCAAGCAGAAAGATGGGGGTTCTCAGTAAAAATTTCTCCCTTCACGGGAATCGAACTGAGGTCTTTTGCGTGCAACGACGAAGCGCTTGACATGAAAAAACCCCCCAAGAACTTTGCACTTTTGGTGCAAGCCTCTCAACGCAAATAACCAGAATCTTCTGTAATATGTACTGAGCCCACAGCCACGAGAGTTCGCGACGTCACGACACAATACAGCAAGCCAGTCCGCGAGTCACAACTCACCTGAAGTTCCCCCGGTAGCGAGCGGCAGACAAAGCAAAGTACACGCCTGCTCGCAAGTCTCTGGCGCAAGCCGTCCGCTGCTTGCAAGCCTTCGATTTTAATCGAGCAGACTCCAGCTGTAATATCTATGCGTCAAGGGTTCAACTGGTTTACACTAATGTCGTTCAAGTCTTCATATTTCACAGAAAGTTAGGTCTAAAATTATCTCTCTCTCAGTTGCTCTCTCAGTTCTAGAAGAACTCCGCTTTCTCAGATCTAATGAGGCGGGGCAGAACTTTCTCAAGGTAAGTAATCGAGTCCATTTTCGTGTGAGTCGTAAAGCTCATTTTGAATACATCTAGTATTCGAACGTCGTTTCTTCTTCTTATGGTTGGATTCTATTGTTGTTGTTATTGTTTCATATTAATTAAATCAGATTTAATTATCACAGAAACCTAATTTGTCTCGACTCTGCTGATTATTTGTAACATTTATTGACTGGAGCTTGGTTTCTTTGGTGTGGTTTCTCCTTCTTTTTTACTTTGCTATATTCGTTTTCTGCTCCTTCCACTCTCACAAATTTAGATGTAGCACTCTCTCCTGTTCTTGGTTGTTTCAGAAATGGCCTATACTAGGTGTCGATAGTAACATAAAACCCATAGGACCCGTCGACTCTGCTGTTTTCCTGGGGTTTTTCTTCATTGTCCTGTGCACTGACCGGGGGTGGGGGGTGGGGGGCTTGATTGGTTATTGGGTTTTTTATGGGACTATCGACACTAATCGACGCAAGGAAACAGAAGGAGAAGACTACACCAGAGCACCCACCACTCGTCCTAACAATTCAACAAGAAACAAACAGAAGGGAATAAAAATGGGTAATAGAAAACTGATTTTGTGCTCCAGGGCCCACACATTTTATTTTCCATACGGTAGCAAATATTCATAATAACACACATATATAAGTATACGGGGGCCTTCAGAAAGTAGAGAACTGAGAAACATACTGTACTTCTTAGTGAAAATGATACATGTATCATCTATCTGCTTCGTCTCGCTTGTTTGTTTGGTATGTTAGAGCTTTCCAGAACTGAAAAACTGAAGAAAAAAAAAATCACCAACAGCAGTATGGAGAAACTCAGGATCACCGCTGCTACCCTAGAAGCTCGGCACAAGCTAGGTGCTTTGAAAAATATGCACATTGTGTTTTTGGATAATAAAATTCTGATTTTGAACTGGCTGGTTCCCGTTGGCACAACATGCAATGTTAACTATTAGGCATTACAACAAGATAATTCTTCAAACAAAGCTGAGAGCAGTAGTCAGAAGAAAGCGGCCGGGGTTGCTTCAGCAAGGTATTGTCTTCCATCATGACAACAGGCCTGTGCACACTGCTCAAAGGTCACC